AAAAAAAAAAAAAAAAAAAAAAAATATATATATATAATACTAATAATATCAATCAGTGCTTAAAATGAATATCAGTCAGTTTAATTTGATGTTTATTTGAACGATGTGATCTTAGTCAGCGGAATCAAGAGATAGCAAATGTTTAGAATGTGAAGCTTTAAAGATCCATTTATTTTACAGACACTCTCAGAGTTCCTCTCCTCACATAATTTGCTGATGAATGGATGAATGATCATGTTTGAAGAGTCTTAAGAGGGCTTAGGTTTTTCCCTGAGCGTTTCTTTCACCCATAGGGCTGCATGCGGTCTACTTCTGTTCTTATTAATGGTCCACGCCAGCTTCAGCGAGCAGATGAGCAGAAACTCCACTTTGAATTTCTGGAACGCAGCATGGGAGGGTTGGATTATTAACCAGCAAGCACTCGGAGGAAGAAAAAGGCCTTTGTTTTAAATGCTCCAGCCCTCCCTCTCCATCACAAACCCCTCCCCTCCTTCCGCTACTCTTCTTTTAGTTTTGATTTCTTTTCAAAAATGTAAAGATGGGACAAACAAGCAGCTTTAGAATGCGCCTCTTGGAGAGACAGATGTCAGAGCTTTTGTGTCGCGGCGAGTGCATCATTATAACTCGAAAGTTCCCATGGCGGGGGGTTGAGGGTCTGAGAGTTTGAGAGGGGTCCGCAGCGTGCCATGCGCGACACAGGGCTTAATTTGGACACCGGTGATCGCTGCCAACTGAGAAGCTTTAAAGACACGACCATCTGAGAAAATCAGGTCTGCTGGCTTTAATGCAGAGGTTTCATCAGTATGTGTTTTCTAAGGCAAGCGTCACTATTAGGCCACATATGTTCAGGGATTCAAAACAACTAAAGTATTGTACTTTATCATGTAGCTCAATGTAAAAGTAAACAATATGGTAGATACTATAGATTTACTTAAAGGTGACATATCATGAAAATCTGACTTTTCCAGGTTTTAAGTGCTAATTAAACATTAGAATTAATTATAATAAATGTTAATTAAATATTAGAATTGTAAAATGTAATTAATATTTTGTAATTTAATTTTACATTTACAAATGTTTACGTTTAATTTAGGATCCTAAAAACAGAAGTTTTATGAATATCATTGAATTAGATCAACTCCTCAATTATGTACAAATATATTGTTTCAACTGTTTATTTTCCATTTGTAGTGACCTATTTAATTCTATAAATTGTCCATAAAAAATAATTAGAAAATCAGTAAATAAGCAGAACAAAAAAACTCAAAATCTGATTAAAGATGAATATAAACCAGTATAATTGGATGTTTATTTGAATGATGTGATCTTAATCAGCTGAATCAAGTGATAGTGGATATTAAGAAGGTAAAGCTTTATAGATCCAGTTTATTTTACAGACACACTGAGAGTTCCTCTCCTCACATAATTTGCTGATGAATGGATGAATTATCGTGTTTGAAGAGTCTTAAGAGGGCTTAGGTTTTTCCCTGAGCGTTTCTTTCACCCATAGGGCTGCATGCGGTCTACTTCTGTTCTTATTAATGGTCCACGCCAGCTTCAGCGAGCAGATGAGCAGAAACTCCACTTTGAATTTCTGGAACGCAGCATGGGAGGGTTGGATTATTAACCAGCAAGCACTCGGAGGAAGAAAAAGGCCTTTGTTTTAAATGCTTCAGCCCTCCCTCTCTATAACAAACCCCTCCCCTCCTTCCGCTACTCTTCTTTTAGTTTTGATTTCTTTTCAAAAATGTAAAGATGGGACAAACAAGCAGCTTTAGAATGCGCCTCTTGGAGAGACAGATGTCAGAGCTTTTGTGTCGCGGCGAGTGCATCATTATAACTCGAAAGTTCCCATGGCGGGGGGTTGAGGGTCTGAGAGTTTGAGAGGGGTCCGCAGCGTGCCATGCGCGACACAGGGCTTAATTTAGACACCGGTGATCGCTGCCAACTGAGAAGCTTTAAAGACACGACCATCTGAGAAAATCAGGCTGGCTTTAATTAATGCAGAGGTTTCATCAGTATGTGTTTTCTAAGGCAAGCGTCACTATTAGGCCACATATGTTCAGGGATTCAAAACAACTAAAGTATTGTACTTTATCATGTAGCTCAATGTAAAAGTAAACAATATGGTAGTCACACACCCCCCCCCTCCTTCCGCTACTCTTCTTTTAGTTTTGATTTCTTTTCAAAAATGTAAAGATGGGACAAACAAGCAGCTTTAGAATGCGCCTCTTGGAGAGACAGATGTCAGAGCTTTTGTGTCGCGGCGAGTGCATCATTATAACTCGAAAGTTCCCATGGCGGGGGGTTGAGGGTCTGAGAGTTTGAGAGGGGTCCGCAGCGTGCCATGCGCGACACAGGGCTTAATTTGGACACCGGTGATCGCTGCCAACTGAGAAGCTTTAAAGACACGACCATCTGAGAAAATCAGTTCTGCTGGCTTTAATGCAGAGGTTTCATCAGTATGTGTTTTCTAAGGCAAGCGTCACTATTAGGCCACATATGTTCAGGGATTCAAAACAACTAAAGTATTGTACTTTATCATGTAGCTCAATGTAAAAGTAAACAATACGGTAGACAGATGCTATAGATTTAGTTCAATAAGTAAAACTCAATAGATTTAAGTTAATGGAGCCGATTTTTTTCAGGATTCAAAAGCAGAAATTTGAAGTTTATAGTTTTATTTGCGCTCTTAAATTAATTATGTTAAAACTTGCATATTATTTGAGCTGTAAAGTATTTTTTTTACAGTCGTTTCAGTGTTTTATGATTTATGGCGTTAAGTTGTGTTGGCAACCGAGTTGTAAAATTGAATATGGTTAGTTATAGCGTTTTTTTT